TATGTAATCACTAACAATGAACAGAAATAGCAACAATGTAATACAGGAGGCAATCAAAACTTTAACCCAGTTTGGATCAATATAGCATAGATGTTATAATCGCCCACTTTGTTGTTTTGACCAAGGGTTGGTGTTAAAGCTAGTTGTTGAAAATCCGGTACCTGTAACTGCGTGTCTACCCGCGCTAAATCATTGCCAGTCAGGTGACCGTCCTCCAACAGCTCGCTGTGCGTACAGTAGTAACTGCAGCCATATTCGTTATTCACATTCGTTATGATATGTTTACGATTATATGACACTTTTGGGGAGTGGCTTTTAAGTGAAAGGTTTGTTGCCAACTTGGCGACTCTCTCTAGATGTAGTGACTTCTGGAGCTAGTGCTGCCAGCTAGTTGTATTGAAAGAGAGTTGGCATCATTGGGCTGGGTTATCTGTTGGCTTCTCCAATGTTACGCTTTAAATGATTTACTGTTGGAACATTCATCCACCCCAATATGTACCCAACTGGTCCTGACCCAATACCAAGTAGGTTTTACTAAAAACACTGAAAATGACCAATGCATACATATAAATTATGAATACATAACCCAACAGTAGTGGCATAGAGATGAACACGTATTATCTTGGGTGGTTTTCTACTCGTGGCTACTGGGAATAGTTAACAAGCCCTTCATATTTACTGTGCAGATACAAATGTACCAATGCATAATGCATAATAATAATGCATAATAATGTGCTGACATGTTTCTAAAACCCAAAATGTTGTTTTAGCTATATAAAACAAAGACAATGTGCAGCGTTACACAAATTACCACTTGACCTCAACCTTTAGTCGACAGCTCCATGTGAGATAATGGATCTTTTGACTTCCTTTAATAGAACTGTGGGGCATTTGAATTTAAGTTCAAAGCTTCTCCAGGCAGGACTTTCGAGTAAAACACATCTTATCTAAAGTGGCTTGTGAAGGGCAAAGAAGGTTGGTTCGGATGCTTTTAATCCTCTCTCTTCTCAAACGAGCTTCAGCTGTCTGGTCTGACCACAGGGTGGATGATAAGCAGACTGTGTAGATTTGCTCACATCATAATGCAATATTTCTTTAGCTTTTTTTATATTCACTCACTATACTTTACTTCTTGCCGCCATCTGGAGCTTAGCATATTAAAACCTGATTTGGGGCAGCTTTATGAAGTGGATTCTTCCTTAAGAGTGAGCTTGTGAATTTGACATACATGAATACGTGAATGTGCAGCATTTAGCGTGAGGAAGTGAAAAGTAAATGTTCTCCACATTCACTGCATCAGCAATGTGACCCATTTTAATAAGAGTAGCATTACAGAGCACTGGGAAAAGGGCAACAATTATCTTTGTATGTGTCCATGGTCACACCAATGTGGACATAAAGATATAAAACTGTAAAAAAAAAAAACAGCTTTAGCAGATTCCAGCCTGCACACAGTGACTCAATGAGAGGCGATGGACCATTTGGCAACAGCAGAGGGTGGGTGTTTGATTTACCAGCAGCCAAGTCATCATTTAAAAAGGTTGAGCATTCATCTGCCATATGGGCTTTTATCACCCTGCTCCATTCTGAAAAGAGGACCCTAAATTCCTATTGCAAACCAAGAGTCCTGATTCTAGTGCAATCTCAATACCCATATAAGGTGAACTTTCCAGCAGATAATAAAATGGAGACTGTTCATATCCAAAAAAAATGGCACAAATTGTTCTTTGTTCAAACAATGGGTATTTTTTGCAGCATCTGTTGTGATTTCATTGTATTCTCCAGAGTAATTGTTGAGTTCTTGGAACACAACAACATTGCTACAATGAAATCTAATGGAGAAAAAAATACCAGGTAATTTGTTGCTCGGATCCCTTGTGATTAAGCCAAATTCAGCCAAATTATCTAAAAAATATTTTGGAAGTCAAATCATAACTGAGTGCACCCATAATGTTGGTATGCCTGCCTGCAGAGGAAAGCTGAATGGGTAAAACCACAGGCATCAGGCTGAGAGCTTAGTTTTTTGCAGGTTGGCACATTCAATTGGTTGTGCTGATTGTGCTTGTTGCTATGGTCTTGCTTGGTGCCCACATTATTATTGTTGGTAGCAGCTAGAAGCTGTTTGACGTAGTTTTCCAACATCTCACGTTAACATGTTGTCATTTTGTTTTTCTCTACAAATGAAATCTAATGCGTGTTTATCTTCTTCTTCCCCTTGTTAATGGGATTTTTTGGTAGTTTTTCCATCTCCACTGCGGAGGTCTAAAAAGAGAAGGTGTCGGATGCTGTACAGATTGTGAAGACCCCTGAGGAAAATGTTGTGTTGTTGGCAACATAAATAACATTTGATTGAAATGATTGATGGCAGGTCAAAGTTGGCCCAGGAAGTCTTTAACTGTATTTTTGTTTACAACCTGTCTTATCAAATCACTGCTTGTGTAGCTTTCCAATAATGTATTTGTGTTGCAAGAACAATGAACATAAATACAACTAAGGACAGCAATGTGCATATTTTGGCCTGCGCCTGGAGGAGTATGAGTTGACCGTAATAAAAGCATTTAATCAAATCCATTCAGTTGGCAGGTTAGAACATTTAAGGAATATTCATCAGACGATGCCTTTATTGGTGAAATGAAATGTTCCATCACCATCATAAAACCATGACTTTATTGTTGAAAAGCATCTAGTATTCTCCATGCAGACTGACCACACAGAGGGAGAACATTTGCTTTTGAGAAGAGATTACAGAGGCTAATAACTAATAAGAATGTGGTTGGTTTAAGTGTGTGTATGTGGTTGCACCGTTGTATGTGTGTTAATGAGCAAGTGTAGAGTATATTTGTGTTGTGTCTGCAACAGTCAGATGCCCTTTCTAAACCCAAACTACATTTCCTTTAATCCCAGTAAGCAATTTGTGAGTTCTTGGAAGTCTTTTGTTCTGCAAGGAAATACAAGCTTAACGGAGTTCATCTGCATTCAATCAGCCAACACCGACAGGCAAAGATGGGACACATAAGCTTTGTGTGACTGTATGTCGGTGAGTGCGTAGTGTATGTGTAATCTATACGTGGGAGTCATTATGACCTCTTTGGTCAGGGTTACGCAGCCACAGAAGGCCACACCCTCTTGGGCCCATGAGAGCTTGGCCTATAGGCATACAGTATTAAGAGACAAACTGCTGGCATCACTGAAGGAAAGCTCTACACCTGCTTGTAAAGGAGGGATACTTCAAAGATCAAACTCTACTGTATGATGCAAACACATGTTTATACTGTGTTTCATCAATATATTACAGGTCTTAGATATATACAAACGTGTCTCTGAAGTGTTTGGCTCGAATTACGAAACAGATCGTGCATTGCAGCATCCCATAATCCCCTCTGTTTCAGCCCTGTTTCAAAAGTGCTGATTCTCTGTCTGTTACTTTAGATGAAAATAAGGAGCCCCTCCCCACGCCCCTCTGAGAGAGATTTGGTTAAAAAGAACACAATGGTGCTCTAGGAGGAGATTCGGGTGATAAGGTGGGGGGGGTGTTACCTTGGTTGGTGATTGGCTAATGGTTACCAAGCTAAAACATCGTTATGACATCATAAATTGGCCAAAATCTGATCAGCTCATTTTCAGACAGGTTTTTATATAAATGGATCAGGAAAAAAAGTTAGCGAATCCTTTTTCCTGAAACTTTCAGAATCTCTTTACACAGAGGGGACACATGTTGATGTAGAAAAGACAGGAAGAAGGGGATTTTGCATGATAGGTGACCTTTAAGGTGAATTATTCAATGCAATCGGGTAATCTCAGTGGTGAGAAAAAACATCAAACAACTACAATTATTTTGGATATCAATGGCATCATTTTGTATAGAGATGAAGGAATAGTCATTGCACCCACATTGTAGGGTAAGTGGTTTGGTTAGGGCATCTCTGACACTTCTGTTAAAGTTAGAAAGATATTTACTTCAATTATAATTCAAGACATTTCAAGGTAAACGTGTCCTGTCTTCTGTTAATTGGAATTGAATAATTAACCAAAATCTATCATATTTCTCTTACCTTAAACAGGTATTTTAAGAGTTGAAACATGACTGGAAATGTAATACATTGCAATGATTGTATTGCAGTAATGACTGGAAACAAATGCAATACTTTTTTAGTGATTACTTTTATGTTTCTTTCAAATTATCTCTTCTTTTCCAATATATAGTGTACCAATATTATTTTCTAAAAGACAAGGTCAACTCTGTCAAAGGATAAGTGGTTGACATTTGACTCCACACCACCACACAGCTGGTTGAATATCAGTTCTAGACTGTCTAAATAAAGTGTGACTAAACATGAAATTATAATAACCTTTTATAAATCAAGTATGAATGTCTTTCCCAAGGTGAAATCTTCACAAAGGTTATCACTGTGAATAACACAATTCACCATGTCTCTTACTTCCTTTTGTCAACCTAGCCATCCTATCTCTCTCCTAAAGACTGAAAATCATCTAAAAAAAAAAAAAATAACATAATGAAACCTCAAAAAGCAGACATGGCCAATTAACGCGGTGACTGACGCCATTAATTATCAGAAGAGTAGAAATGGGTCGCGAGGGAGTAGAGGTCAAAGAGAAGAAGATGAATTTGCAGCGAAGAATGCGAGCGCGCTGGAACATAGACACCACTGCAGGATCGCATAATTAAGGATTTAATGGACTCACTAATGACTGTAATAGTCCGCCTTTCGTTTTAGGGGGTTTGAGAAACACATTATGGAAAAGGCAAAGTGGTGTTTCAAATTGACTGAAACAAACCTATTATTTCAGAGGGTCTGTGCTGCCAACGTCTGACATGCTTACAGGTACAGCATTTCATTAAGAAGGCTACTTATTCAATAGAAAGGTGCACTATAGTTCATCCATAAACAGTCTTTAAACTCGTATTACTGTATGTGCATTTCTGGTATAAATCTTATCTGGCTGACAAAATACCTTTCGTGAAACTTGATTCTGCCTACCTCATTCTTGAAAAAGATGAATTAAACCCTGATGCGAGGTATATCAAATTGTTAATATCAGATGGTCAAATCAAGAAACAACTCTGCTCTTTTGTAATGTTAAACATGACATTTAACAAACCTTATCTGTATTAAGTTGTTTCACTACACCGTAGAACTTTTCTTTGCAGGAAGTATAGAGAGTACATTATCTAAAGTCACCACTGTGAAGCAACATGTAGTCCATATTTGCATAAATTGCTGGAAATGCTACTGCAGCACCGAGATAATACGCCTGTTATTCTCTCCATTTGACTTGATTAGCAAAGCCAGCTGAGTGAAGCAGCTCTATTAAACATCCAGCTCGCTACCTCACTGTAACTCAACTCTGTTCAAACCAACAGACAGTTAGATATCTGAAATGACAGAAACCTTGTTGGGAAATCAGTTCAGTGGCCTGACCCAAAACAACCCAACTGCACTAATTGACCTCACCGAGCTACAGCTCCTGTCAATCCAACAAATGGGAAATGATAAACACATACAGTTATGGAACATAAGCCTCTCTTTAGGTATTTCCGATACATATTTAGTAAGAAAGCCTTGTCCGTGTACCATATGTGTCAGTCCGGATGCACTCAAGTGTTTCAAGAGTTATAAAACTCAAGAATTAAACACAATGAAACTAAATAAACACTGTGTCGCTAATCTCACATACAAATCCGCTCCTTTATCTCTCTACACTGACCTTACTGTAACTGTTCTGAACAATATGCTCTCCCCATGGCATGTCAAAATATAATCCCTAACACACTGTGGTGCACGAATTACATAAACAGAGAGATTAAAATATGCATCCCATGGCCGGTCCAAGGCAATAGGCAGAGAGAGATGGTATGTCAACTAGAGATGTCCCGATCCGATCACGTGATCGGGGATCGGAGCCGATCACGTGATTTTCAAAAGATCGGAATCGGGAGGAAAAAAATCGGGGATCGGGATTCTTTTTTTTCTTTTTTTTAAATGTTGTTTTCNGTGCATTGCTTGAATTTTACTTAACAGACTGTATGTGGTTTGTCTTGTGTGTCATGTTTTGCATTTTGTCTTTTTGTTTATGTATGTCTCAACAACTTACAGACATACATAAACAAAAAGACAAAATGCAAAACATGACACACAAGACAAACCACATACAGTCTGTTAAGTAAAATTCAAGCAATGCACACAATCATTACAATTTGAGACAGTCGATTTAGTAGTAGCCATTTTGAGGGGTCTATTATCCCTCTATAAGCTGTTCTTGCCAATAAAGACCTAGATAACTATTGCTCTGCTTTCGCTCCGACAGGTCAGACACAGCTATCCTGTACAATGACCGCTCGGTGTTGGAAAGTCACCACGTCAGCGCCGCCTACCGCCTGCTGCAGGAGGACGATGAGATGAACATCCTCTACAACCTCTCCAAGGACGACTGGAGGTCAGTGAGACAGATATGAGACAGACAGTAAGAGGAGGAGAGACAGGGAGGTGAAAGAGCTGAGGGACAGCAGCAGAAGATACAACTCAGAGATTTACTAGTTCAAGTCAAATGGAGAGGCAGGTCAAGCGGAACAGTTTCACAATGTACATATCGCCCCAACATGACCTTATCTCTCATTTTACAAGACTCACAACGGTGCTCAGTGGAGAGAACATCAGAAGAGTTGCATCCCCTTCAAGGTCCAACAACTTTGTGCTAAATGGAACTGTTATGTGTGATAAATACATTAAAGAGAGAAAGCGGCAATCCGACTTCTTAAGACATAAGCTGGGACTTGTCAAAGCAGATATTATAAATAGCTTTCAAAAACTGTGTTGGCTGACTTTACTTTTAGCCACATCCGAAATAAGTCGGCTTTTATTACCTGTGAGTTTGCCGGTTCATTACACAGCACATGGCCTCGTGTTTCCCTCTCACTTCTCTCTCCTCGTTCCTCTGCTTTCCTCCAGAGAGCTGCGGGCTCTGGTGGTGGAGATGGTGCTGGCCACAGACATGTCCTGCCACTTCCAGCAGGTTAAGGCCATGAAGAACTCCCTACAACAGCCTGAGGGGTCAGTTCACTTCACTGCTGTTGCTTTTGTTGTTTTTCCTTTCCTACTGTTTACACTCTCTGCCCTCATCCCAGCCATTTGCATCCTCATTAACCCTGCCATGAGCCACTGTGTACTAACCTCCAGTTGTTTACAACCCAATTATCCCTGCCCTGAGGATGCACTAATAACACAACGCACATGAATGTTTACATCAGATGGGGATTGGGACGATATCTGTTGCTCGCGTGTTGTTTGCTCAAAATAAAAAAGGAATGAGTATTAACTAGAACCAGTGTCATGCATTGTTCAGCACAGGTATACAGTAGGGTAATACTACATGCCCTCTCAGGCACAAACACTGGATGTTGTGTGTGCTGGAAGTCTGCACAGGACTTCCACAAGAGTTATAGTGTAGTCACACCAGCTTTGGCATGGTGAAATGTATTTGCTCACTGCGGTGAAAAACAGCCTGCGGCACAAAAGTTGCTGCCAGTTTCTCTGGCACACTATAGAAGGCTCGAGCTAAGATGACCTGCTGGAGAACATTAGCGTCCCAAAAGCTATCAAATATTCTGTTTCCCAGCACTAATGTTCAACAACTTTCAACTTAAACTTTAATGTTTTTAAAAACATACTGCTGTATAAATGACAACATGAACCCTAGTAGTACAGTCACTGCCGTCGCTTGAACCATTGTCGTATCCTGGTAGCTAGAAGAAACAATAATCATAATTTTGGTCACTGAGCGTAAATATTTACGCTTATATAAACTCTTCCTCTTGAAGTCACTAATATTTAATGATGTGAGCAAACATATTTTATTTGGGTCCTCTGAACAGTATAAGTTTATCTTTGCTGTACTCGTTAATAAGCTAGCATGCCTGCCAAAAGGTAGATTACTGACTAAAAATAAATAAATATGGAGAACATAACATGGAGCTCCTTGATAGCGCGTGCCGTAACCATAACAACCTTGGATTGGCCATGGGACCTTTCTGAATGTCTAACCCCTTTCCCCCTGTCCCAATTGTCAAGGCGTAGAACATTTGGATTAGGTACTGGTCCATTACAGAATCAGAAGACCTTTATTAGTCCCACGGAGGGGAAATCTGCATCGTTACAGCAGGAAAGAGCCACAGACAGCTTAATGTTACTAAGTTATGATATAATACAAAGTATAATAAAAAAAATAAAAGTAAAAAAAATACTTTTCAAAATACAAATCCTGTAACAGTTCTTAGGATTTAGCAGCCAGGTATATACAGTTCTTAATGGCATATGTATATAATGTATATATTGCACATATAGCACCTATTGCACATAGTTTGATGGTATTTAACAGCAGCAAGTTACACAATTTACAAAATACAAAAAAAAAGAAACAAAAAATTACAGAATTCCACTTCACTACGAATGAAGGATTCGTTACAGCAGTGTCCATTGACAAAGATTGCTGTTTGCTGTGTGTTTTCTAGGGAGCGTGTTGTTACCTGCTCCTATTCTGATAGTGTACCAAAGTGTTCTGTGTCAAATCAAAACGTTACATTGGAGAAATAAAAATTCCTTGCAGAACAGAACAGCCCGACTGCCAGTACTTCCTTTTCACACATTTCAATCACAGCACTTTCTACAGTGACTGATAGCCGGGACTGCTCTACATGCAGACAAAAAAAAGCAGATTGCAAAACAAAAGAGAGCTATCAAGCAAACTATCATATGACGAGATGAGTCATCACTCCTGATGGAGCTGCAACGCTTACGAGAGAAAGCTGGAAGAAACTCGTTGACCTTGGGGTATTTCTTTTCACTGTGATATCGCGCAGCACTCATCATGATTTAGAAAAATGCTCAGAAAGCAGTGATGTGGCGATAAGCAGCTTCCTGAGAAACACATGTACGAATCAACAACATTGAGATTCCTGCTTATGAGTATATCTTATAATTCAAAGAGTGCTGACAGGAAGGTAATCACCAAGCTACGTAATAGGGTACACACACAAGCGCACATAAACAAGATTGCAGTCTGCAGGAAGCTGTTTTGCTGAATAGACTTTAATGTAAGGTAATTCAAGCCGGTCTGCTCCAGGCCTGCTTTGAATGCTCTTTAAGACCCAATCTGCCGCAAATGGAACGAGGGGAAATTTGAGCCAGTCCTTCTCACCTCTGTTTAACCTTGTGCTGTGTGTGTGTGTACTTGTGTGTGTCTGTGTGTGTGCGTGCGTGCGCGTGTGTGTTTTCAGTCGTGTGCCTATTTCCATATTGCACTGTGTCTGTTCATTCATGCGTCAGTCCATTTAACATGATATGTTGATATGGTTATTATCAGGTGATATCTCAGACACCACTGATGTCTGATGAGGTGAGATGATGCGTCTTCACACTTGTTCCAGTGTGAAGAACCGATTTGCCTACCGGAGGCAGTATGATGGGGAATCTTTATGGGCTTTAAAAAATATATTTTCAGATGGAAGTTTCTCTGTCTATAGATGTCTGTGCTTCAAAGCCCATGCTAATAGACGTCAATTGATATTGCCTTTTCTTTTGAAATATTCAACCTGCAATGGTGAGTTTATACTCCACCTGCTACTCTGTTGAGTATAATCATTTCAACTGCTTCTGTATATTACACAGTAGCAGTTGAAATGATTGGTGCACATGTTACTCTAGGATAATAGGTTTTACATTTCAACCAAGTCTATTATAAAACAATATCCATGCACATTGACTGTGAGTTGATCCCTCTCTCAGAGACTCCCATGTAAGCAATGGGCGATAACATCTACAGTTATTTTGTGTAAAAATGCATTTAAATGATGGTCAAAGCTAACAAAAGTATTTGAGTTAGCCGAATGAGGAAGTTATCCTTTAAACTTATTTTCAGTCTGAATACATAGGTCTACTGCTTTAACTGTAGAATGTATGCCTAATGTTGATACATTTTAAACGGGAAAAGTAGATACTTTACTGAACATACTGTACAAGACTGTGAAAACGTTTCTCTCCTATGAATTTTTAAACATTTTATTGGAGCTGTTCTTGCACAGAAAGTCATTTTTTGTGGACAGATTGATGGAAAAACATTCGCAGCTGTGCCACATTTTTCCCATTTCTTTTATGATTGACCCTTCAGTCTTCAGGGACGCTCAGTGTTTCAGAAATGTTCTTGTATCCTTCCCTGGCTTGGTATTTTTCAATAACCTTGTTGCAGGTTTTATGTTGAAGGTGTTTGGCCTCACAATTTAGATTAGTTATTACAGTGACAGTAAAACCTTTTTGCTGCACCTGTAGTCATTAAGGTGACGTATTAATAGGCTTGGTGCAGGATTCTTTGATTAACAGTTGAATATCTTGGTCTGTTTTGCAGCATTGACAAGCCCAAAGCCCTGTCCCTGCTGCTGCACACGGCAGACATCAGCCACCCGGCCAAAAGTTGGGACCTCCACCACCGCTGGACCACCTCTCTACTGGAGGAGTTCTTCAGACAGGTCAGTGTGTGTTCCAAAGAGGCTGGACCAGTGTGTTTTTCAGTGCTTTGAATATGTACAGGTGACATGCCGTGCTTTTCAACTAGTAACATAAACAGACATAGATATAGATATTTTCATAGATAAACAACCATTTAAATGATGTGATTACAAAAAGCAACACACTTCTAGAGCCCTTGAATTGTAAAACCTAACCTGGCTTTCAGACCTGGTTCTTATTATTGAAAATAGCATACCGGTACATTTAGTTTCCGCACTTCAGCTTTAGATTGCGTCACATGATCTTCCTCAGCAGATGGGAGTTCAACCCATTTGTCAGTAAGTTTCAGATATTTCCAAAAAACTCTTTATATACTTAGGCCTCAAAAGTTGAGATGGAAAATTCTTGGCTTTCATGTCACACCTGTGCTTTTCCTGCAATGTGAAAAAGAGTCTCTATTGGACGAGCTGTTGAGAAACTCTTCTCCTGGGAGGATTGCCAGAAGATGAAACACCAGTTTTGAAATGGATTCAAAACGTCCTCACAGTAGTACACTCTCAATACTTGTAGCCGCTCCTTTGGTGCTGGTTGCAACAAAAACTGTTATTAGTTTTCATTGTGTGTTCAGACTAGGTTTACAATAATGATTGATTGATTTAATATAGTTCTTCTGCATAACTCTAGCCCCCAAAGCACTGCAGTCATGTTTATAAGTTTAATTGCAGGCACTCTGCTCGTTGTCATCATTAAAAATCCTGCCATGACTTGGCTCCATTGCAGATTAAAATGTAGAACATTAGCTCTTTTTTAAAACAATGCATTCGGCTATAAATATTAGATTGTGGATTTGTTTGTCAAAAAGAGGGACAGCGGTCTAACTGGGGCCACATTGCTTTCATCTCTTCCATTACGAATCCACATTGTTCTCATTATCAGTGCTATTGTTATTGTGGCTTTTTTCACGAGGCCTTTATCTCCCGGGATACGAATCTCCGATAAATAGCTCCTCCAAAGAACATTGCCTCCCGACTCCACATCTCATCTCTTTGTGACAAAAAAATCAGAGGGAGAAAATGAAACACATTTGTGGCCCAAAAGCACTCGGGGCGGGGGGCCAGACAAATCCAAAGCCTGATGATAGAAGTGTGAGTGTATGCCGTATTATGTCTGGAGGCTGCGGCACATTTTCATAGAGAAGCTGAGATTGGCTCTGACCGAGGTGGCTGCTGTATTTTCAGGGGGACAAAGAATCAGAGCTGGGCCTGCCGTTCTCTCCGCTCTGCGACAGGAAGTCAACAATGGTGGCCCAGTCCCAGATCGGTGAGTGGCTTCTGCATCTATACTCTCACCACCTGTGTGTGTGTGTGCGTGCGTGCGTGCGTGCGTGCGTGCGTGCGTGCGTGCGTGCGTGCGTGCGTGCGTATCAACAATGTTACATTTCAGAAAGAAGGTTTCCTCTTCATAAAAAGCAAGCAGGGCCTACTTCAAATCAACAGGCATCTTAATAATCAAGTTAATCAAAGTCCAAAATTACCAAATGAATACACAAAGCAGAAGGATGCCAGCTTATGTATATATCCTTTCTTTGTCCTTCTGCTAAGAGGAATATCGAGTGTATGCAAATTACACCTGTGTACGATAATGAGCTGGACGTGTGTGTTGCCAAATAGCAAAAAAGGACAGAGAGCAGTGTACTTAATAGAGACCTGATTTATGATAAAGTTGACTCCGTTCTTCAAGCTTATTTTTTATGGGTCTTTCTAGAATAAATATAAAATGTCACTGAATGTTTCTTTGTTGTGGCTGCATGCAGAGGTTGTGGCAGGGAAATCGTCACCTTTTGCAGGATAGGTTTTCTTTTTTTTTAAATGTATTTGTATGTCTTTGTACTTCTTGGGCACATTATTGATATTTCACAATCTCTCTTTGCCTAGGCTGTTTTAGGTAGTTTGACTATGGGGTCATATCTCTGGAAATGAACCAGAATTGACCTATACAGTACGTAGATGATTATGTATTTTGGGTTACTGCAGATTGACCCCATGGCTTACTGCTCTTTATAAAGAGAGCATTGAGCTTCCCTCTATGCCTTTCTTATGCCATGTATGTGCATATAATAACAAGATGACCTTTCGACTAGGTCCGTAACTTCATCTTAAAGAATTTTCCGTTGCCTTAGAGAAAAAAACGGTTTCCATTAGTTCAATGTTAGCAGTGTCTATTCCTTTCTCATGTTGCTCTGCTCGGTCTTAGTTGCAAACATCCCCATTGATCCCTGTCTAAAAATATATTGAGGTTTTTCTTTAATGTAATTTCTGAAGTTCATAAATCCATTGCTCCATTTTGAAACGCTCACCTTGATAATCATTATTAACATTCTTAATATTAAAAACGCCAGCGTAACAGTGATTCTTCAGGTCTTTTACACACCCCAGTCTTCATTATACAACATAAACACCTAAATCAAAACATATTGATCTATAAACTGGTTTGCTGATATCTTTGTCACCAGGGTTCATCGACTTCATCGTGGTGCCCACCTTCACTGTGCTGACGGACATGATGGAGCGGATCGTCAAACCGCTCATCGACGAGGCCTCCCATGCAGGTGTTGCCGGCTTTAGACGCTCAAGGTAGGTTTCAGCACTTTCTCTAAGAAATCATTTGCAAACAAAAAGTTTGCATGCTGCTGAGTAGCAGGACTGAGCAGATGGAAGTGGGTGACAATATGCAAATCTGGGCACATTTTAATCAAGCAGCCAGCTTAATCAAGGATGGAAAATCTACTGTTTTCTACCCGTCACCTCTCATACCTGTCTGAGTAACTGCTGGCTCAATGACGTGATTAAAGCTCAACATCTCTCTGCAATAACAGCATATCTAATGGCTGAATGGAGAACAGCAGATGAGTCTCCCATGAATAATCAATTTATGTGCGTGGAAATGTCTCCACCTTTCATTTGGGCAAAGCCACACACCTTGAAATTGACATTTTAGAGATCCCGTCTCCTCTTCTCTGAGAAGAAAAGTGGGCTTCATTGAAGGTGTTGCATTCTCAAAAGTCTCTCCTGGTACAAAGAAAAACGTCTTTTTGCATTCACCGGCTTCATTAATTGGCTGAGTACTTTCCTTTCTCCCGCATACTTAATCAGGTATGTGCAAGGCTTTGAAACCATGCTAATAAGAACGTAAATTCAACTTACTCTGGCATTACCTTTTAAACCATCCAGAGAAATGTAATTAAATATAAGTTAAGACTGTAATTAGTATCTTTTAAAGTGAGACTTTTTGAAAAAACACAGCAGCACTTTGAGAGTCTGGCTCTTCATCTTTCGTTGCACCTGCACATCAATACCAGCCTCAACTGCAGTCATTAGCATCACTCAGTGACTCCAGCCCAAGTTAACGGCGTGGAAGTCTCAGAGAGTGTTTCCATTTGTTCTCTCTCCTTGGTATCGTACACGCCTTGGTGCTTCTGGACTTTCCTTAACATTTATAGCTGTTTTCAATCATCTTTAACTATCTGCCTTCCCGGCCTGCTTCAGATGATCTACCTGTCTTTCTCTCTTCTTCTCTTAATGTGCCTCTGAGTCTGAAAGCGCATTTTATTTTTTAGCGAATCTAGGAATAGAAATGTCAGTCTGTTGATCTGTTGGTCCTCCAACAGACATGTGTGAGCCCCATGAGAGGAATTGAAAAAAACGAATCCCTAAAAAGAACACACAGAAATGTCCATAAAGTTGTGTGGCTCACAAAAGACATATTTGGAAAGATAATGGACAGAGTTGAAGCCGCACAGGGCGAAATATCCTGTATTTAGAGCAAAGTATGTGCTTTCATCAAACGCATGCCGAACATACCTACTTCTTTTATAGTGTTCTTTTAAAGCAGGGCCTCTTTTAAAGATATAGATTCTCAAACCACGCTCTGAAACTTTCTAGAGCTCATCCCAGAAGAACAAAATACAATGTTAAACTCTTTTCAATCTGATTAGCTGAGTAGCACTCAATACTTAACGTGTGAAAATAGGTAGGTGCTCCTTTAACTTGACTTAATCCTGGGAGAAGCTCTCACCTGTGTCTGGTTGCGTCTCCAACAGCGCTTTGTAAACCGTACCATCTATATTCAATCCTTCTTTTATTGAAGACACAATTAGCTCCAGTGTCTCAAACCTGAATTCCGTGAAATTGAGCTCTCAAGTTAATTAGTGCATCTTTTGGGTATTTGAGATATCTCCTTCATTCAGAAAAACCACACCACACGTTCTCTGAGTTTTAAGGTAATCTTGTTCATTCTGAAAGAAATGCAGCAAATATATTCCTTCAAGTGAATGCATTCCGCTTCTTTAACTTAAACGACCTTCCTTCCTCTGGTTTTCCTGTCCAGTCTGAACAGTATTAGCTCAGATGAGACCAAGAGGCTCAGCAGCTCGTCAGGACAGAGCTCTCTGCTGATGGTGGACCTGAAGAACTTCAAGGCTCTGTGGAACGAAGAGGTTTACCAGAACAGAGAGAGGTGGAAATCTCAGGCTGCTAAAGGTACAGTACACCCTTACAACAACCAACATATCATACAGGGGGAAAAAAGGCCTCTTGGGGATTGTCCTGGTAAACCTGATCCGTCTGAATAGATCATGAGATTCACAATGATTTTTCATAAAGCTGCAATGCTCTTAACATCTGCAGAGCTTAGCTTACAGAGAGGGTGATTTGAACTGACCTGCATTCGTTTGGGATATTCACAGAACAGCCTGTCCTCTTGCATATGTTTTTATTTGAATATTTACATAATCAAGATGGCACCACTTTTGTAATCAAGCACCCATAAGTAGGAAGAAACAGCCCGATACATAGTGTTATCCTCTGATTATTATCTGTATGCAAAACCTATTGCTTGTAGTGATAATCAGTTTGTGGATCTACACCGTGTCTTCGCTTCTTTCAGCTCAGGTTTCCAGTCGACTTTAATGTTTGGTCAACTTTCCCCAACAGAATCTGTTCCTCCAGCAAAAAAGCTTCAGACAGCCCACTGTAACCTTCCTGCTCTGCACCAAACAGCAGAGACACACAGTAAGAGAATAGCTAGTGTGCACAGTGGAGCATTTAGCAGCTTAGATCCAGATATTTCCCTCAGGAGTTCGTAGAAACAAACACCCAACTCTGAATGAATGCTGATGTTCCTCCTTAATTGCAGGATGTGTAAATAGGCAGCTGTTTACTATGTCAACTTAATGCTGATGAATGTGTCTGCAGGTTGTTTCTGCTGCCTCCAAGTGGCCACTAACTAAGTCATTAAAGGTTTAGGTAAACAATCATAGAAATGTTATAGAAATATGTCTTTTATCAGGTCTGAAACAGAACAAATATCACCTATTGTGCAAAATCCATACAAGTATTGTATACATCAACATGTGTCCCCTCGGAAAGTTTCAGGAAAAAAGATTCTCTCGCTTTTTGTCCTGATCCATTTACTGTATATAGAAACCTGTCTGAAAATGAGCTGATCAGATTTTGGCCACTTGATGATGTCATATCGATTTTCTTGGCTTGTGTAACCATTAGCCAATCACCAGCCAAGGTAACACCCCCCCCCCTCACCTTATCACCTGAACCTCCTCCTAGAGCACCATTGTGGTCTTTTTAACCAAATCTCTCTCAGAGGGGCGTGGGGAGGGGCTCCTTATTTTCATCTAAAATAACAGACACAGAATCAGCACTTTTGAAACAGGGCTGAAACAGAGGGGATTATGGGTAATGCTGCAATGACTTGTTTGGTGTTTCAAGCCAAACACTTCCGAGACATGTTTTGTATATATCTGAGACCTATAATACATTGATGAAAAACAGTATAAAAGGGCACCTTTAAGTTAGATTAGTGAATGCAGACTCATATGCTAACATGCCCCCCACCCCCCATGTGACCTCAGAGGCGGAGGAGAGAGCTAAAAGGGATCTGGAGGAGCAGGCCCAGCAGGAAGAAGCCATGGAGCCCCGGGAGGTCCAGACAGAACCTGAACAGCCTGAACCAACGGAGGACCAACCGGAGGGGGAGGAGCCGGGGTCAGCAGAGGTCAGCCAAACACCAGATGGTAACACGGAGGAACCGGAGCAGGAAGCGCAGCCGGAGAGCCCCTCACTCAAGAACCCCCCCCTGCAGAACGGTGCAGAACGGTGCGGCCCTTTCACTGTTAAATCCCAGAGCACGATGTGACAGATGGAGATTTATAAGTCCTAATTGATCCATAGGAACAGTCAGCATGTTGCAATGAAAGTAAAAGATCTACAGTGAAACATATAATCCTGTGTGACTGACTCTTATATAAATGGGTTATAGCAAAGTGTAGGAGATGTGTTTATTTATGTTATACACCATTTGTCAAGCTAAAGAAAATGGATTTTAATCAAAGTTACTGTTATGTTTTATTTAAAAACTCACTTTTTCTTTTCATTTATTTTTTCATTTATTCTTAATCTTTTTATTTTAGTTGTATTATTTTCTATGTGTTTTACTCTATGTGTTTTACTCTATGATTTTATGTTGAGATGCTGTTTATTTCACTCGCTCTCTGTTTATTTGAATGTGAAAGCACTTTGTAACTAAAGGTGCTATATAAGTCAAGTCTATTATTATTTGTATTTGTATTATGTGAATGATAAGTAGTTTCTTCATGTTTTTATTCAATGCTAGAATAAGTCCACTAGACTTTAAAACACAGTTCTGTGGGTTTGAACAGTGTTTAGCTGCACACCATGGATGCATAATGGCTGACTGGCAGGTCAGGCAGGGGGTTTCCACAAACTTTTTGAAGGAGAGAGGATGCTTTGAGGATTTCATTTTGTTGTTTGGAAAGAGTAAATGTTTGCCGCCACTGAATGTGAGTCAGTGTGAGGAATAACACGACTGTTCTCACTCTTCAGGAGAGTTGTCTGAAGGGACTGAGTCTCCAGTGGGGGAAGAAAACAAGAACAAAGGAGACGCTGGTGAGTTCATTCCTGCAGCCCACGGCTTCTGACAAAAAACACATGAACTCAAGTGTCCACACTGAGATGCTATTTTGTAAGGTAGAGCCAGCTACATGTAGAACTAATACAGTCTAATGCAACAGTCCTGCAAGTATAATAATAATATTGAGTTTATTGAAACAATCTTAGAGCAAAAATACTGCAACTAATAAACAAGAAACTAGGTTAATGTATGACCTTGTGAAATTAGTTTTGAACTGTTGTTTTAATGTAATCTCCCTAACTCTTCTTTAGGCTATAAAGAGATCATATATGTACATTAGAATAGTTCTCTGCTTTAGGAGAGATGTTTGAGGACCTAATACAGTTGTTCTGAGTTTGTATCGCTATGGTTTATTGTACCTATTGTAATTTGCTTTGGATAAAAGTGTCAGCTGTTATGTCTTTACATGTTGACTTTAAGACAGTTTCTAGCTGCAGTCAAACAATATTTTGAACACATCCGAGAAAACTTATTAATGATGAGAAACTCAGGAACTGACTTTTTTGAAAATAGAACCATCCTGCTGAGATTCAGAACAGTTTGTAACATTATAATCTCTCTTTATTACTCCATGTCTGTGTTTCTAAAGCAGAGGTTACGATGGACTGAGCTGCCTCTCTGGGGCTGTCGCCCTAAAGCTACTAACCTGTTTGAGAGGACTCACTCTCAGACCGGAGGGAAGTCCATTATTTGGGCTGCGTCGCCCTCTACAGGCCACCAAGAAACTGACACCTTCACTTCCGTTTCTCTCTGTGAGCAAGTGTTTTCTTATTTTACTGCAAGGCTCCTGTTTGCAGAGCTCTACCCACGTGCATTAATCCTCCCTTCCTGCTTACTGATGAAGACGATAAAGAAGAAGATCTAAGGACCTTATTACGGCGACACGATAATGGGCTTATTTTTTGTTTGCCAATCTTTGACCTTGCTTTGGGTTGTGTTTCTAACTCAGCCACAGACATGTAGCCATTGTCCCACCGCTGTTATGTATCGCTGTCTACACTCACTATTAGATTTGAACACTTAAAGAACTGTGTAGGAAAAAAAAGTTTATTTAAGGACAAAGTGACGATCACACTTATTTATTTTGGTACTTATTTAAAGGTGCAGATTTATGGGAAATGCAGAATAAAGGGACTTTTGAAGCTGCTACACAGGATGTACAGCATGCTTATGTGTAGAGTCATTCCCAGGTTTAAAGCACTACTATTTTACTAGAAAGTACTCCTTTAACTCACCCTCTCTATGTAGAAACCTGACTTGTTCCTGTGCTTGCTGTTTAAACACATTTCAATCCCACATTGTATGTCCCTTAATACGTTTCATTTCCTTATGGCTATCAGACATGGTGAAATGTGTTTCCTCCAGCCATGTTTATATTGTGTCTCTGTCCTCTTTACTGTAAATGTTCAATGTGTGTACATGTATGAATACGATTCCACAATCCACCAACAGATGTTTTGGATTTAGTGTAAGATATTGCAGTGAGAAATGTCCAAAAATTAGAATGCAACTTTTACGTTTCAAACATATCACACATCGTTTTTTTTTTATAATATAAAAATCCTTTACTTTTTCTTTTTGTAAAGTTGTTCTGCTTCTCTTGTGTCCCACATGAGTCATGCACTAGTTATCCTCACACTGTGTGTCATTTCTTCGTCAAAAGACTTCTCGATGCCTTCTTATATGTATTCAAGCTGTAGCAAAGAGTCAACATGGCTGCAGGATTAGAAAATATATGTATTTTATTTTGCAGCTATGTTACAGCAGCTTGGCCTACGAGGTGCTGGTGTGATGTTTTCTCCACGTAGTTACGGCGTGCTCGCTCTCCTGTCAGCCAGTTGAACCCGTCGTGCTTCTGTGATGCGTCCGAGGCTACGAGTCCAAACTGTTTCTGCTTCTTGGTCCTTTGCCTGGTTTTGAAGGCTTGTAATGTTGTGTATAGGAGATGCAAATATTGCTTACTGTGCATATGTAACATATTGAACCTCCGCAATGCTGGTTAAGCTTTTACTATATACTTAATATGTGTAATTGGAAGAAAAAAATACAATTTTGGCAGTTGCATAATGATTGATATGATTTCCCCTATAAACTGTGAACTGTCATTATTTTGTTCTCCTTATGTTTTGATGATTTTGGGAAAATCCCCAAATGTTTGTTATTGTGCCAAGATCAAGTAAGGGCACTTTTTTTGATGTTATTATTACTATTATCATTTATTATTATTATTATCATTATTATTTTAAAGTATACTGTACTTGCATACTCAATCTCAATCTTTATTTATTTATATAGCACATTTAAAACAACCTTCAGTTGACCAAAGCGCTGTACAGGCAATAACTACAATATAAAATAACACAATGGGAGAACAATAAAACAATAGTTTATACTGTATGGGGGTTAAACAACTCCACACCTAAACATTTATATACAAATGTAGGATTTATTTTGTAGCCTATTTGTTTTAAAACACACTTCTCATTCTGATATTATGCCAGGAACTTTGGTATGGATAAAAATCAGTTTATCACATAATGCAACTTTGACCTAAAGAACACAGTCAGTGGTTAGCTGCCAGCTGGCTGAATGTGTGCCTATATACATGTTCTCTCCACCTGTAGGACAATTCACTGTGTGATGTCATTTGAATCTGTGCTGATCCAGGAACAGTCAAAGAAAACAATTCATATCTTCCTACAATTACTCCAGTCTTGAGTAAAGACTTCTATTTTGTTGAAAAGTGTCTCGTTTGATGTTTTTCAGAAGTATTTATGGTGGTATATATTTTGCTCTTTCTTCATGTAGAAAACATCTATTTTATAGCTGTATATCTTTTATTTTACTTTTACTGTACTGTTCGCTGGATTGTCCAAAATAACGTCTTCAACATGTAATGACATTTTGACATTGTGTCTCCTCTGGTGTCTCGTTTTAGTGTGTGTCTGTTGGATATGTTTAATGCCACCAGCTCTGAAGTCAGAAAAATGTAATTGGCTGAAAACTGTCCATTTAAAATGTAACAATCATATAAAAAAATAGATTTATAAATAGAACAAACGCATCGTGTGCTCCAATAGCCTGCCTGATACTCGGTGAAGCAGAATATATTTTCTGTACCGAGGGACCAACACATGTACAGTCTGTAGTTTGCTCCGTCTTTCACCTGCTACTGTATTTAACAAGAGTTTATACAACCATAATCACAAACATAGCTGTATTTATGACCTGTGAAGACTTCTAAACACGGTGTTTTGTAATTGTTACTACGGAACAGATTGTTTGTTGTTTGTTTGATGCTTTGTGTCCTTGTTTAGTTAGTCTGAATCACTCTATAATCATGGATCTCAAACTGTTCTAGTGACTGAGGTTAGATGGATCTAAAGCGTGTGTGAGAACCTGCCGAAAAATACTTAATGTGCATTTCTGATCTCCTCACTGTGACCTGCTCTATCTGTGTGTGTGTGTGTGTGTGTGTGTGTGTGTGTGTGTGTGTGTGTGTGTGTGTGTGTGTGTGTGTGTACATTCACGAACGAGAGTGTGTGTCTAGATGAAGGATTGCATGAGAGACAGAAAGTGACGCAGTGGACTGTTTAAAGCTGGTAAACAACTCACTGCCAAAAACATAAAAAAAGAAAATATCAGCACTTTTTTCCCCCTTTAAAGATCTCATTCTCATATATTGTATATACCATATTAGGCTTATGCCACAGAATGTGATTTCATATAGAAATCAAAAGTAGACGTATTATAAAGTTTAAATATAAAAAGTTATGTTAATACAAAAGCATTAAGGTGAGTAGTCAAACTAGCTAACAGAAGACAACCGCCTTAGGTTAAACCCTCCACTACATCCATGAAGACTAAGTGTGTGTGTGTGTGTGTGTGTGAGAGAGTGTGTATGTGCATGCATGTATGTGTGTGTGTGTGTGAGAGAGAGAGAGAGAGAGAGAGTGTGTGTGTGTGTGAGAGAGAGAGAGAGAGAGAGAGNGGTGAGTAGTCAAACTAGCTAACAGAAGACAACCGCCTTAGGTTAAACCCTCCACTACATCCATGAAGACTAAGTGTGTGTGTGTGTGTGTGTGTGTGTGTGTGAGAGTGTGTGTGCATGTATGTGCATGCATGTGCGTGTATGTGCATGCGTGCGTGTGTGTGTGTGAGAGAGTGTGTGAGTGTGAGTGAGAGAGAGAGAGAGTGTGTGTGTGTGTGTGCATGTATGTGCATGCATGTGTGTGTGTGTGTGTGTGTGTGAGAGAGTGTGTGTGCATGTATGTGCATGCATGTGTGTGTCACTGTCCCACGCCGGCCAGGCGGCCGTGTGTGCCACCATGCTCTGTGACTGCACAGCTGTATCAATAAATCTGGATTCAAAGGGCTCAGATCCTGTCCGCCTGTCTTTATTTCTTTACGACGTAGAATCTATACAGTTTTTAAATGACATTTAAAGAGGCATGCTGCTGATTTTACACATAAAACATCAATCTGTTGAGCTTCAGGGTTTTCCTTTGGGAAGTGCAGCATCTAGGGGTGCGTCATTCTTTTGATTCATCCATAAATTGTCTGTAAAATGTCTGAAAATAGTTGAAAATGAGGTTTCATCAGTATCCTAAACTATCCTACCCATGAGGCCATAGCATTGAAACTGGTTTTGTCAGGGTTCTTACGGTCATTAAAAACCTGGAAAAGTCATGGAAATTCTAAATGTTAATTCCAGGCCCTGGAAAAGTTTTGGAAAGCAAAGTTTTTCCCAAAGTTTTGTAAAAGTCATGGAAATGTAACTAAAGTTGCATCAAATATAATTTATATTTTATCTAATCGCCGAAATAATAATACTATAATGATAATAATACTGTATCGTATAGTAATGAAACGTAAAATGGCGTTCAACTGACGAGGTGTTTTGCTGGTGAGAGATTTGAGTTGCTTTAGCCTGTAGAAGCTAGTAAGCTTACTATTTGATTTGTTTAGATAGGACCAATATGTTTCAGACCTTATTTTCCTGTTCCATGTTAAAAGAAACTATTTTCAGTGATGCCGCTGAGAAAGAGTAATTTGTTTTGTCATGGAAAATGAGGTAAAGGTCCTGGAGAAGTCATGGAAAATCATTGGTGAAAAAGTGTACAGTATGAACCCTGATTTGTATTGCTGTAATAATTAGTCCAGTTCATACTGACTCCTAAGAGATCTCCTCCTAATGAGCTGGAGTTTCCACAGACAGTATTTCCCGTTGATCTGAAGGGATAAAACACAAAGTGAATTTGTACTCAGAATACATTCTTTTTGATTTGTCTAAGTAGACTTTAGCAGCAGTCCCTCAAACCGTTTTGTATCCTTTTCTCCCCTATTTCTTTAGCTGGAGTTGTAAAGTTGCCTGAGTTGATTGAGGGTCATTCTATACTCCTGATTCAAAAGTGAGAGCAGCGTGGTGCGTTTCCTCTCCTGACCAATCAGAGTGTGGCAATGCTCTTTATTTAAAGCATAAGAGAGGTAGAGAATTCCACACCTTCCTGTCTTCACTTATTCCAGACATCATTTCAGCTAGTAACTCTGGTCTTAAGCTTTCTGATTGAGAATCTGAAATGTTGCTCGAGTGAAAGAACATCCTTTCAATGGGTTACTGCGTCAGAGCAGATCTCAGCGCTAGTTATGCAAGAGGTTACGGGTTGCCTATGAATTACTTATGATTGCAGGCTTTATTATTTAAGGCTTTGTTTTGATCAAAACTCATTAACACACTTATTATCAAAGAGGCATTTATTCAACATTGAAGAGGTATTTCATTATTATTGAAGCACTGAGATTTGATCTCCAAGTATTCTTATTCTTATTCTTATCTTCAAAACGTTTTTTTAATTAGTTTTGAGGATTCTTATCCTGCTAAAGTCTGGGAATTTGGTGCAACAACAAGACTGCTGAAGTCCCATTAACTTCACATAAACTGCATTGTATTCTGTCCCCCATCCTGAAAGGACATTTGACAGTCACTATGAAGGATGGGACATTTCTCATTTTGCTTATAGGATTATTACTATTATTATTATTATTATTATTATTACAACCACAATTTCCAACAGCTCAAGGTGATGTCCCCAAATTGCTGTTTATTTAATGTATAATGACAAACACATTTAAGCAGCTGGAACCAGGAAATATTAGAAATGTTCAGCTTGATAAACACAATTAATCCATTATTAGAATAATTGGCAGTTCATTTGAATTTAATCGGTTGAAGAGTTGATTAAACGATAACCATTTCTGCATTCGTAGGTTTCTCTCCGTTTGAAGCTTGACCCCCGCTCTAACGCTAAACGTCAGACTAAATCTGCCTCTGCTGAATCTATTTGAATAGTGTGTGGTTGTTTGCTCACAAAGTCATTCAGACAATACCATTCAGTGCGGGCTTTAGTCCCTTGTTTCCCCCTAAATATCCTGCACCATTTCACACAGCATGGGCCTTCTCTCACAGCAGACATTTTGGACTCGTCATGGTAGGAAGGCTCAGGTGTTTCTAATAACACTGTCCCAGAGAGAGAGACAGCGAGCCCTCGCACAACAACAGCACCCTGAACCCAGGACGCTAAATGGCTAAATCAGCCATCGTTAATTTGATTACCTACACCTGTTTCTACTGCGACACTCTAACATTTCTCCTGGGAAAAGGGCTTCATGCACACTGTAGACAGACAACTGATGCACTCACTTAATGCCATGTTGTTCTATGCTTTCTGATGTGTGGTAGAAACAAAAATATCCAAAGTGCTACATTGAGGCAGTTGTAAATTACTGCCGTCTCATGTTTCAAAATGTAACAAAATAACATCTACTTACAATCTATTTTGATCGTATTACTTTCTACACTTGTACAACATGTACTACAATAAGTAACAAAGTACTTGTACTATAGTGTTAACATCTACTACCCTTTCATCCCTGAATCAGATATGAAATGTGCTTAATGCATTCCTGAAATACTGTAATGATAATATACAATATATATTAATATATTTGATGAATATAGCACCTTACAAAACAGAGTTATACATTTATAAATTACTTTATATATGAGTTTGTGTCAAAGGCTTAAGATTACATCATTATATTTTTAAATATGAGAACATGACCCTTAGTTTTATAATAGAAACAAAGCTAGTGGTGTGTCGACAGGAAGAATTCAAGCCTTTCGATATTTGACGAGCACTTGTTTAAAGAAAAACATGCAAATAATCAAAGTGAAGACAAATGAATATAGCTAACTTACTAGAATCAAAACTCTTATGTATTAAACACCATAACTGAACATTTGTTAGACATGCAGTTGTCCACTAGATGTCTCTGTTAGACTTGAAATCCCTCTGAAGCTCCAGCAGCTCCACCTCTCCGGCTCAGAGGCCCGCAGCACTAAAAATGATCCAGTGACTTGATGTATACCGTGTCACACTCCCAAGACAGTCAGTATATAGCTCTTTATCCACCATATAGGCAGCTCCACAAACATTACACACCCAACGCATATTTATCACAAGCAGCATGCATATTCATGGGCAGGTTGATGGAGCTGGTGGAGGGATGTGTTGGAGTTCTCAGAGTGCCGCAGCAGAAGGCGAATGTTAATTCAATTATACGGCAGCTGTTCCTTGGTGCCCATGGCCACTGTGTTTGCACTAGAACAGAAATCTTGTATTAGGTCCCTCGCCATAAAAGACCATTGCCAGGCAGGAAAATGGAGACTGCCTGTAACCAAAAGCCATCAACCGTATTTTAAAGAGCTTTTAATGCTTATTTTTGGCACGATTGAGGAATATGGTGATGCTGCAAAGTAAGATTTGTGGTTATATTGTTTTTGGCTAGCTGATTTACAAAGCTTTTGTTTTTGGTCATTATTCTTTTAAATAGTCAATCTGCTGGGAAGTGAAATGTGCAAATTAGTTTCTTTTTTTCCTGGTATTAGCTCCAGTCAAGGGTGGTTGGATAAACACGACTGTGTGTCATGTGGTGGCAGAACTGTGATTTGGTGAAAGCCAATTTACAGATACATCAAATCTCTTTCTTTGTGTGTGTTCTTGTGGATTTATATAATCAAGACTTTGTGTATTAACATGCATTAAACAGACAACATGTATGTATTGGTCCTCAATTGCTCTCATACATGCAAATGCAGTTTGTCAATAATGTGAGTGTTGGTATTTGTGCTCCACCCCACCTCCTGTCCCAGGCTCTGGCTGAGCGCCAGTACGACTTGGTGGAGGAAGAGGAGGAGGAGGAAGAGGAGGAGGAGGAGGAGGAGAGGGGGAGGAGGAGGGAGGGGTGTGAAGGCATCCAGACTGTCCCTTCATTACCCGGCTCCCTTAGACTCGCTGTCTGATTCAATCACATGGCCACTGGCGGGAACTGCTGCTCTGATGTTACCTGGACCTGCTAATAAGTTTGCTTTTCCTTCATCAAAAGGAAAACAGCCTCACCTGCGGGAAGGATGAGCTCGACTGCACTACATGTAAAACATATGCAGGCATTCAAATGTGAAGGCATCGAAAACACTCAAGAAACCTCAGGTATTGTCCTCCTATCACACACAGGGGAAGATATAACCAGAAAACTAAGATTATAATAAATAAAAGATTATTTTCATGATTGAGTAATCAGCTAATCATTTTCTCTATTAATCGATCGGTTTCTTCTAAAAATATGTAAAGTTTTTAGTTGAATTTCTCATAGCTTAATTTGAAGTCTGAAAATGGCTTGTTTTGTCCAACAAACACCCAAATATCACCTCATTTATCGTCAAATAAGACAAAGAAAAGCAGCAAATCCTCACATGTACAGTAAGTGTTGGAACTTAAAAAAATAGTTGGCATTATTATCAACTTAATAAAAATGTATAA